ACATGATCTGGATCCGTAACGAACTAGTTTTAAACCGAAAGTGATGATCACCTATTTAAGTTTTGTCATTTTTGTATATGAATTCTCATTTCACTTTTTATGCCATTGTGACAGTGAACACGCCTTTGACTGAAATGCAGGCAAAGTTGCTTCCACACGTCATGTATAACACAATAAACTACAAACACCGAAGCGTGTGATCGAACGATGCTGTGATTCCGCTGGACTGCCTCACTCCTATGATGTCGGTGTTTGCAGTCCGCGCTAGATCATTTTCCGTGACCAACGTCAAGCCCGTCAGTTGAGAGCAACTTTTGCGCCGATCTCATTGAGCAAACTTATGCGCGTATTCAGTGTCAACAGATCAAACTCTTCACCGTCCGATTGTTGTGAAATACTGCTCAAAAGTGAGTAGAAGGTAATGTAGTTGCTGATTTGTTTCGACGATCAACAATTCACAGGATCACCGAGGGCAGATTGCTGGGTCTCAAAGAATAACAATTGAATGCTGGATTCAGCACTCGTTGTGCAGCCAGGAACTGCGATGGTATGTTTCTGATGAGATTTCTCTTATCTCTATACCAAATTAGAGATGCTTCATCTGTAATCCGCAATAATTAAATATGCTCCACTGCGCACCGTCTTGCGGATTGATAACACTATTACCTCCTTCGTTACGTGAACTAACTTGATCCACAACCGAGTAATGCACAAGCTTATGATTTGCATCCGAAAACAATGAAACTCCTGTGCTAGTCCGCATAAGTGATGAGTGGCTTTTTCAAGATCAATTCTAGTACAAGAGAACAATGACCATGGACAACCTGTTCCGAATTGGTTCCTGTACATAATTGATCAGTCCCAAATGATTTTCACTTGTGGGCAGGGATAAGCAGTTTGCTTGCAAAAGGCGCACCATCATCTGCACAGGTACCTTCATTGGTCATAAAAATGGCAGTGTTTAAATCCAATCGAATTCCGTGATCTCCGAAACGCGGTTACATAGTTTACATTCCCACGATTTCCAAGCATTCTAGTTCCATATCTTGTGGAATGGCCACTTCGAAAAAGTCGACGCTGTCACCTCATCTGGCGAGGACGCGTTCAACACAAACTGCAAATATCGATCTAACAAGTGTATATAAAGAGACTAGCGTGTGTGCGGTACTGTTTCCACCCCAAGGAGCGAAATCGATACTACAATACACCAAAACTAAGCTGCAAGAGTAGCAAAAATTTAAACATCTCATATTACGTTGCAAGTTCATAAGTCAAAACCGGGATAAAATAATAGCTGAAAGTGTCCACGAAAGTAATCGATCTGCAATGTATCAGAAACTGAATTGTTTGAAATATCTCACCATGTGGCCATCGACAGTGTGCATGTGTTTTCACAAGAGATGGGGAGGGGTGCAGTGTCCTGTGTCAGCCGCAAGCTGTTGATGTAAACAAATGTAATTCGATGGCAACTTTAAAACATTTCTAAACGAGGTGCAAATGTTGATCACGTGACCCACGATCTGAAAGTCACATTTCACCAAAACAGTTAGGCTGTCCAGATAAAAAGGAAGAAATATCAGTGCCAAATTTTCAAAATAAAGTAGCCATTTTGACTACTAGACACACTTCAGAGTAACCGCTTTACCTCATCTATGCCTTTGTAAAAGGACATTACAAGGACATTTAAAGGACATTCTCATTTATAGCTTGTCTGCGTTTCAATACATCAACCACACTTACAGAAGGACAACCCGAACTGGACGGACTTTTCGCATCCTGTTTGAGAATGAATGAATGTATGAAGAAATGTATCTGCGAAGTTGCTGCACACGATAGAGGCAGTTGACGTTGGGCGAAAACCTGAGGCCTCCTTCAGCAAATATACAACTGAATGAATTACTTGAATAATCGATACCACTTCGTTTGCAACAAACCGGTCTTTATTAGCACATTAGTTTAATCCTATCAACTTCGGTAACGCACTGTCAAAGTGAATTCAAACTAGATTGTATCTAACCTTATATATGGCCCCCGAGAGCGGACAAAAACAGATGACAGCCAATGTCGAGACAATTGGTTATTTCGCTACAACCACAGGTGAAATAAACGCCTATGATTTCACTCGTCAGAATAAGAACTGCCTGTAATGGTGCGTATCACATTTCGTATCTCTATCTATGCATACACCAAACTGTTCCGATCGGCTAACCGAACGATAACGCGGCAAAATAATGTCACTGTATCATCGGGTTTGAAATTCTCAGGTCAGCCATGTACCAACCGAAAATGGATTGAACCAATAATCCCAAAGGTTGGTTGCATCGAATGATTCCCATTTGAAGTAAACATGTGATGCGAATCGATCCTCAGATTGCCGCGTAAAGCTTATGGCAATTTGAACTCAATTATGCAGGACAGCACGGGATCACACCCGATGAGGTTTCATTATTGACTGTCCAATCGTTTTCAAACTGAGGGCAAATTGCTTCACAGGATTTGGTTTAACTTCATTNGATTTCGGTTTTCTGCTGTGTTTAGAACGAAGAAACTGAACAGAGAAGGAACACAGAACGAGGTGAACTCCAGTATGCAGTAAAAGTTGAAATACTCGCCACAAGTAGATGATTCAGAATGTGATGTGATTTTCTTTTTCATAGACCCCATCGCTAAGAGAGCAGTTTGAAAATCCACGTGCAAAATATAACTGCTTGAATGTGTTTTATCTATTTAGTCCGATGCATGCAATCCAGAAAAAGGCTGATATGCAAATAATTCTCATTTTACCAAAGCTAATGCCTATCATGACTATCTAGCTACGAACACGGATGGGACATCACAAGTAGATGATTCGAGTCAACTCAACAATAAGAGATATCAACGATATGCAGAATCAAGGATTCCACTTCAAACAACCAATCTTATATCATGGGTGCAAACAAGGGTATGAGCGTCCATCACAAATGGACAGTCATGAAGCAGCAGAAACAACGAATCAAAGAGCACGGGCTGCAGTGATCCAGTTGGGGCCGATAAGTAGACTCCGATGACCTTGGGTATTCAACGAGTCACCCACTCACCCTGCAGATCTAGGAGAATGCAACACGTATGCACTTAGTACATAGCGTGCAAGAGACCGAATATACACTGTTAATTAATATGTACTTCTATTGAAATTGTGCTGACGTATCGTAATTATACGTAACATTTTAATGAGAGCTAGAAGAAGAATCACGATCACCGTATGTGTTGAATTCAACTATTTCGTGGTAATCTCATCCGCTGTGTACATACATTCAGATCACGTTTGGTATCATATTTACGTGGCACATCAGTAAGAGGGGGTGTATTGATTAAAATTGAAATTCAACAACCGGGAATCAGATGTTGCAACCACAAAATCTCTTCAGAGCGAACAACCGTTCGGTCGAATGGCTCCGATTATTGACGTCGATTTTCACAATATACGCGGCAGCGACTAATTACGAGACCCACGACAATTTGACGCTGATCTAAACAGACGAAAAACGCCCAAGCGACGGTGCACATCTATCGTCCGTGACTACAGATTGGCAAAACCCTCAAGTCTAGCAACTGAGTTCAGCTGAAATGAATTACAAGATAGTTACCGCAATTTATATCGAAATTTAATTTTCAAAACGCGTGGAGCGGAAACATGCATTCCTGGTCTGGAGCCGGACTAATGATAATGCAAACCAATGCACACAACCGAATATTTCACTTCACATGACGCATGCTCTTTACTGATTGCCTTGCAGCACATAAGCGGCTGATCATAAGCACAATGTTCCCGGTGCTACTGCCGTGCGCCAGGAACGCATTCAAATGTCCGTTTGTGGTCGTCGTGCGGCGTGAACCGCGTTTCCACAACACGTTGAAATCCCTCCATCCTCTGCACAATACACCAAGCTCATTCCGGTTTATCATCGCACACCAATTCACCCTCCAGCACATTTGATTAATCATCCGAGAAATGTGGATAGGAATTTCTCGCTGGTCCACTGAACTGCGCGCACATCACACAATCCCATGAACGGTTTCGGCTCATGCACACGTTCAATCTCGCCTGAGGAATGTCAGCTCTCTGCTAAATTGATTGATCACCAATGAGTTGGGTTGGGTGAGTTTCTCCGTCCGCTATTCGGATCATTTATCTGAATGTATACTTTGGCAGTGAAAGTTTCCGCGAACACCATCAGCATCATCATCCTCGTCACTATGATGATCGCACGTCGAAGTTTTGAAATTTGTTCCAAATTTGTTGAAAATGCAAATCATAATTCTCGTGAATACATTTTGGAGTTCCAAAACTGGGGTGAGGACTTTTGATCCAAACGGATGTGACTTTATTCAGGCAATTCGGTTTGAAGCTGTACGCGAATAGAGAAATCAAACTAACGCGTTTCGAAACGATTCACTCCATGGCCCTCGAATTCTGTCTCTAGGACGGTCCACTCGGTTTGAAAAATAAGCCATGCTTTAAATCGAATTGTATTGTACTGAAGTGTATTGTACTGTATTGTATTGTATTATATAGTGTATAACTTTTGCAAGCACTGGAGCCTACATTTCGGTTGAAAAATCATACACACTAACCGTCACTGTTTACACAACAAATAATGAAACATTTTTCACCGATATGAAGATATTTCACAACTCCTATGCAAAGACAATATTCACTTTTTGTCAGCTCTTTATGTATGGGTAGACGTGCAAGATACGGTATGGTTCGATGCGGTAAGCATTAGTTCGGGATGAAATTCGGCAGAATTGGGAGCGTGTTGAATGATGGGAACGACATAGTGTCAGTTGGCTTTCAGGCATCGACGACACAGCTTTCGCTCCTGGACTAATGTCTGTCGTTTCCTCACATCAAATTTGGAGAACACTAGACATTGGTCTGGATAATGGTCGTCCCCACAGATCGTGCACCGGTTTGTGGTTGACTTATCGTTACCATTCATTTCCATGCTCATTGCAGTATGGATGTTTCGACGTACTCCAAATTGCGTGCCTCCGGACGTGGATACTTGTCTGTTACTGCGGTCGCCCTTAAGAGTAACAGCCAATTCTCCAAAGCGGCTGCTCACAATGTCAACCCTCTCTTCAATGAACGACGCCAGTTCGTCAAACTGAGGTTCTTTTCCATGACGTATCAAGGTGGTGGCGACTTCGGCCCATTTGAAGCGCAACTGAGAAGGCAGCCTCATGACAATCGCCTCCATGGTTCGACTAGAATTCAAGTCTGACGGATATCCTAGTTGTCTCAGGGTAGCAACGCAGGCTTGCATCTGTTGGCTGAGGGTGGTTAATGCCCTGGTGTCGTCGGACCTTATTGGAGGGCCATCAATCAAACCGTCGATGAAAGCTCGGGCGATCATATAACTTTGACCAAACCTCTTCTCTAGTATTTCTTTGACTCGCATGAGTCCATCGTCCGGTTCCAAGATCATGCAATGCTGAATTGCTTCCTTTGCTTCTCCTTCGCCATACTGAATCAGCTAGGCAGGTTTCGTTATCCTTTGTCTTCTTTTCAACCATGGAATGGAACTGCTTGATAATTGCGCAGTACGATTTCGGATTACCGTCGAATCTTAGGATCTCACGTTTCGGTAACTCCACCTGGCATTCATGGACGGGTCGTACGAGCCGAGGTGTCTTGACGTCCTTTGATTCATCAACTTCCTTTTGCAGCAGTTGCAACTTCTCTAGCTCGATACGTTTATCAAGTTCTAACAATCGCAACTTTGCAAGGTCGATATCCAGGCGCCGTCGCTCGAGGTCAACACGATCAGCCGAATTTTCAGACACCGCTTTGGAGTAGAATGATAATTCCGACGGACTATTTTCCACGATTTGGTCAAATTCGAATAACTTTGTTGTTTCGCGATTCGTACGTACGGTACTTTGCTAGCCTTTGGTCGAATTTACGCACCCCGAGGTCAATATCAATATCAGAAGATAGTCAGAACATCTCGGATTCTTGTCTTTGGTGGTTCTGTAATGTTAACATACGGTATGGCAAACAACAAGGTTGAAATCTAAAAAAGTACATTCGAAGTAGCTTGACCAGCAGTCCAACAAAGAGCACCGATGCATGGTGATCAGAGCAAAACAGTCAGCAAACAAAGATGGCCGGCCGCCAAGACAAAGACGGA